CCCCCCCCCTCCCCCCATGAAAGTGTGATATCCGTACCGCGAAACTACAACAGTTCCGTGTCGTAAGGACTGCACTGCGGCAAAATGATGTACGTGTATGTATGTGTAACGTTGCCTGTCTGTCGTCAAGACCGCTACATGCTAGTTGTATATACAATAAAACGCTGTCGCGGTCCGCAAGGTTCGTAAAGCAACCTAAAAAGAATGAAAAGAACACTCCTTCGTTTTGATGAGTGCAAAAAAGTGAGCTCGAAATGACAAAACTGAAGATGAGAAGCGAGGAGAGTCCTCTCCGAGGGCATTTACACCAACGGAGTGTGACGAGAGGCCGTTCGTTATTTCTTTCTTGCTTTTCCGCGTTGCGTCTCCAAAAACGCGCGGCGATATTGCTCGACTCGATATCTTTTTATTCCGTGTTTTCGCGATCGGTTAAAACTACTTTCTTAGGCAATTACGAGAAAAAGAGGCCGCGTGACAAGCGTTAATGTGTATACATATAAATACCGAGCGCACTCTCTCCTTGTCGCACGCCGGATCTCTTAAATAGTATTTATTGCGGCACTTGGTCAAAATTCGCGCATCCCCTCTCGCTCGGTTTTCTCTCTTTGTATTCAGTCTATTATTCGAGCGCCTTAACCTGCGCCATCACTTTGCCCTCCCACAATGGGAGTACCTCGGCATCGTCCGTTATCTCTTCTTGTATGACTCTCGTGTCCAAGTCTTCGCACTCCGTTTTAAAAAAGTACCTACGCAATTTGAGAGAAACAGAGAATATTATCTACCTATACTTGAATCTAAACAGAATAGTTCAAAATTTAGATTTAAATCCTAAAAACATCGTCACAGCGTTTTCCTCTAAAGCTTTATATAATGAATTTTGAATGGCGTCAATAAATTATTTAATAAAATGAGATATTATCTAGTAAAATATCTTTAAAATTAACCAAAGTTTAAGAGTGACTAACGACAGCAATGATGTACGTACCGATAGCTCCCTTTTTTGGGAAGATACTCCTTGAACTGCTTCAACGTGACGTTGTGACCGGGAATTTTGGTCCTGTAAGGAAACTGCTCGTCACAGAAACTGAACACAACAGTGGTAAAATCGTCTTGCTTCGTTTTCTTCAAAGTTGACTGATTGGACTGGACGTACGACTGACCTTGCGACACGGGCTCGTATGTCTGTTTAAACATGTTTACGTGTCGTTGCTTGCAAGTGGCGCGCGCCCTTTCCTCCATTAGCCTCCTACACGTTTCTTCTAATTGAATAGCCTATAATACACGTTGACATTGTATTCATTCGTCAAAGAAAAAGAAAGAATAAAAAGTAGAGAAAAAGAAAAGAACAAAGATTTACCGTGTGGGGTGGCGTTAACGGTGGCATTCCCGGATCAGCAACGAACGGTTGAGCAGGCACTCCAACGCTCCACGTTTCTCTGTTTGGCCTTTCCAACGAGCCGCTACGTGAGCCGTATCTCTTGCCGTGACGACTACTGTGTTTCAAGTCCACTTTCTTGTCTGCTTCTTTAAAACGAGGCAACAGACGAATATCCTTGCTTATGGAAGGCGGCACATCGCTGACGACGCTCACCCCGCTGTCCGTGAGCTCCGTCATCGATTTTTTCGTCGCTGATCTTCTCGTCATGTCCGACCTTCGGAACCTCTGCTCGTGACCTACGGCAAAACATGTTTTTTAATGACAATAAAAGCCGTTCGCACGACACGATCGTATGTTTCGATTGCATACCTTGAAGATACAGATCCTGCTTGTGGAGGGAATCGGCGTAATCGGATGGCACGGATTTAGATTTGGGCAGGTGCGAGCCTAGTGAACTCATGGAGCCAGCTCCGACGAGATCGCTGCCTTCTTGGAAGTCGTGGATATTACCGCTATCGACTGAGAACGTGGAGAACACATCCTTCTCTTTCCTCTGCTTGTAAGGCCGCGGGTAATTGTGCGCGAGGCCTCGTCGCCTCTCGGGCGAGTGTAACCTAGGGGACGAGAGTCTGGGAGATCTCGAAGGTGTCAGGTCCGACCAAACGCGCGACACGTGCTGGTCGAGGATCGCCTGATCGCTGTCCTCCTCCATGGCCAATTTCTCTCTCAGCGCATCACCTGGAGTCTTGTGGGCGTTACTGGTCATTTCTAACGAAATGTCGTTACCGCTAAGCAAGTCGTCCTCCTGCAGGTGTTTGTCCAATTTTTCCTGGGTCTTCCTCTCTCGCGCCACGATCTCCAATTTCTCGCACAGTTCCTCCGCGAACTGCTTCTCCGTCATCGGCTTTGAAAGGTGAGACGGTACGCGTTGAGTTCGCGGGACGATATGATGCGCCATGGGGTCGCGATTCATAGTGGCGGATTCTTTAATTGTTCTAGATTGCTTCGCGTATTGCTTTTTGCTCCTTTGTCTACTGCTCCCTCCATCGCTGTAGGCGGGATAAATAGCGAATAAATATATTACATGTGTAATGGATACATAAAAAAGATACAGATAAAATGATGAGAATCCAACTTTGGGGCGTAAAGTATAAAAATAAAGGGGAAAGAATGTCAAATAAAATTAAAAGATATAACTTACACGGAACCATCGGTGAGGGACATATTGTCCACCTCGGTACGTGCATCACTGCTCAAACTCTGAAGCTCTGAATCCTGTCTTGATACTGGGTTGTAGGAGGAATATTGTGCGTGCATTCTGGATACGTGCATGTGATACGGACTAGCCCCATGTTGCAAGTAAATGCTACAAGTGCCACGCAAAACAGCAAAACGAAAACAACTAAATAAACGGCAAATAAAAAACGGGAGTTATCTCGCAAACAAAAATTTTCAAGTGACAATTAAGGAGAGATCTAAATTGCGAAACGAATTACAGAAAACATCATCGGGGAATAACTAAGTTATTTTCCGGCGATATCAAATAATCTGAGCGAGAAAGTCAGTGCTAACAATAAAAAATGTAAAACGCAAAAAATGAAATCCGAATTATGCAAGTGTCATCACATCAAGCTTCTAAAAAAAGGAACAAAAGAAAAAAAAAAAAACAAAAAGAATACCAGCGTTGTTAAGGCATTCATCGCAGAACTGATTTGAAGCGTATTATTATATCGTGAATGATGTGAATGTTCGAATACTAGAAGGCTCGATAATGCTACAGAAAGTGCATTTACCCGGCGTACATCTCCGGTTTCGGCCGCACATCCATCGCTCTGCTCTGCTGAGTGGCCATAAGGATATCTTTGGTCAATCTTAATTCCCTAAATTCCCCGGGCGTCTCGCTGGCCGAGTGCGAATTATGCATGGAACCGACAAATTCGCTGTCCTCGTGCAGGGTAGGCAACAAACTCGGGCCACACGAGAGGGACATCTCGCGACTCGAGCCAGAGCTCGGGCAGCCGCCGGAGTCGGAATTCTGGTAGGATCGAATGTACTGCAAGTAAAACTCGGACTGCAAGAAGTTGGGATACGACGTGTTGGTGATCAGCTGCTCCACTTCCAGCTGCACGGTGTCGAACACCTTCTGATCGGTGCGTCCTTCCTTAACCCGCCGATCTGCTTCCTTCATCACATCCTCCGGTATGGTTAATTGAGACTTGAGAAAAAACCTCCGGTGGATGAGCTTGACCAGTTGGGATATCTTCTCCATGTCCTTCTGCTCCTTGAGGCCCTCGCAGGCGAACCAGAAATTGAGCGGGTCCAGTCCTCGCCCCTCCTCCTCCTGACTCAGGTACCTCTTGAACAGATCCAGACCTACCGGATCCTCTAGCAGGGAGTGCAGATTTTTTGCCCATCGTGTAAAAGGCGGAGGAGAATCGCTCTCCATGGTAGTGGTTCCGCAACAACCCTCCGGCTCGAATCCCAATGGTGCAGCAGCATCGCAACCACCAGAAACCGTTAGTGGTGCGAAAGAAGAACGTCTAGGTGTCAGAGCGGGACTCTGTGGACGGATCCTGCTGACATAGCTCCCGGTTTCCTCTCCTGAAAAACAGTATATAATTACAATCTCATGTACAGCTTTCTCTCATGTGGATTAGTATATGAGGTTACCCCTGCTTTCTCATTAAATTCAAGTTTGCTCCACTTTACCTGGCACTGGTGGCCTGGGAGAGTTCTCATTGAAGCAGCGTGCTTCGTTTTGCCGAGATGCGCTCATCCTATCTATTATGGCCTTCATATGTTACTTTATGATCTACACTTGATTTTCGCCCGCGATGCCTCTTAGTGGACATGGTTAGTCCCAATCTGAAACAGAAAATTAACAATAAAGCTGATTGCCATAAAATTGTGTTTTTACATCAATATACATGTTAATGTATATTTAAAAGAAAGTACACTTGTCAACAAAATTTTTATTTCATTTAGATTCAACATACACATTCACACACAAAGTTCACACACACATAGTTGTACTTGATATTTTTATAATAAGTTAGATTTTGTTGTAATAAAAATAGACCAAACAAAATCTTATAAAAATTTTCCAAAAATAAATATTATATATTTGACATTTTTATTACCATTGTAATATGTGAGCTAAACATTATTGATTTCAGTGTAGTTATATGTATGCCTGTAAAAGAGCAGAAGCTGGTAAGCGTACCAACAAAGAACCAGCAAACCTGGGATGCTGGATCGATCCAGCTCTGCGGTGAGTCATATCTCAATTAAGCAGCTAAGGGAGTTTTTTTCTGTTGTGAGAAGTCTAAGGGTGGAGCATAGCATAGGAACTATGGACCATCTCCTGGCAGGCTGCGCAGAGGGATGCGTTTCTATGTGTTCCTATATGTATATACAACCCTACTGGTCTGCGCAACAGACCATTTGTGTGGTATTGATCGTAAACCTATAATGCAATACGCTGAATGCGCTTGTCAGACCTGAAAATGTCTAAATCTGACTCCAATATCCTCTATTAAATTAAATTCAGCTCTAATATGGTGGAAAAATATTAATAGCTGTATGATGTGAGTTGACCTGCCAAAGAAAAGATCATTATGCCTCTAGGGTCTGCCCTTTGTTACAGCAGGCCTATTGAAATATGATTTCATAAGGACCACACACTCTAACCTAAGAGGAAAATGTGCATCAACCCACTTCAACACAGATGTAATCCTCTACACACATGTTTTACGAATAATCACTGCTTACATTATGCTAATATAATGTATATCACACCATAAATCACAATGAAACACTGAAGACTTAACTTTATACACTATATATATATATATAATATTTATTGAATTTAGAGGGAATCTTTTGTGTACATATAAAAATCCATTATGTAATAAATTATAGTACTTTGACAATTTATATATTAATAAAGCTGTTCTTATAATGTCTACCATTATTATATAGTTATCATGAACAAAAGGAATAGCTCTCCAATAAGCGTGGAAATTTGATCTGGGTCTTCAGAAGGGAAGAAATATGAAATGAGAAGCTGTCATAAGGAATCAACTCGCTTGACTGCACATTTACCTGAGTCGAAAGAGAAGAGGCAGAATACATACCATTTTAAAAGAGAACACAAGCAGCAGCCACCAAGTTAAATCTACAAGGATCTATTATGATCCTGACAAGTTTATTGATCCCCACACTACTAAACTGATCAGATTTCTTTGTTGAAGATACAGACTGAGCCTACGGTACCATCGATGGCACGTCTGGGGGCAAACTGAAGCAAGGCTGCGTCCTGACCAGGACTGACGCTGTATTGATATAGCTATGGAAAGAGTAGGGGTAGAATATAGAATCCTGAGGAACTGTCTTGACTGTGACTCGCTGTGCAGTATCTCTCTGGAATATTTGTACCAAGAAATATATCCATTTCGTTTGGCTCAAATTATTTTCATGAGATTAATTATAACCACATTCTATCATTAAACAATAAAAACTTGGCACAGAGAACCTATGATGGAAGAGCATACTAACCAATTCTGAAAATACACAATCTTACTTTATTGCAGTTTACCAACAACAAATTGAATGACCATTCTGAACTACTAAAATAAATTACATTCACATCAACAAAATAATATGTCTGTCGTGTTATTTTTTATAAACCACAAATAACTTAATCGCAAGTTTATATAATATCTGTTTCGCATATTAATAACTGAGCAAAACAAGTATTCACATTCCACAATATCTCTCGGCAATCACACTCACAACATTCACTACGTTTTCAAACGATAAACGTCAGGATCGGCGAATTGTACCTTTTTCCGAGCGTCGTAGGCGGACCGATCGTACGTGATATATCCCTCAATGAAAGGGAAAAAACTGTTTGTCAGCAGCGGCCACGAGGTATTAACTTAAGAAGCTTTCCCGGCCATATCAATTCTCTCGCGAACCTCTCATTGTTCGTGGATTTCTCCGCACTCATCCTTGAACGGGTGGATTTCGAATCGCTCGACGGAATCTCGTCCTCGTCGCGGCGAGACGCCGTTTCTCGGTGCGATCGCCGATGTCGGTACGACTCGCTGTTGCTCGCTTTTCCGTTACCGAAGCGCATTTCTTTTCACGTCGTCCTTTTCGCTGTTGCCATTCCGGACCGACCGGATAGAACAGTCGAAATCTCTGCGTCGATATTATATCGATTGTTGAGATTTTTCGAATCCCAGTGAGACTCTCGAAATGTCGCGTTATCAGTGCCGCCATCTAACGTTGACGCAGCGCCTATCCTTCACTCGAAGTTAAGCGGAAAATCTAACTTGCCGATCGCGTACTTTTCGACGATGCACGAGACAACCAATTGAAAAAATATGACGCGCACACGGAAAAAACAATTCCATTGGTGTAACCGAATTTTTGGTTGCTCAGGGATCAGACGAAAACTCAATTGTAGGAACAGAAAAATTTCTTTATGAGGCTTCTGTATAGTCAATTGTTCTCAGTTGTCTCAACCGAGTTCTAAATCGCTGAATGTTCAGACGAATATTTTCGGTTGCAACAACAGAAATATTAGTTTTCATAACAGAGATATCGCCTTCTGATTAGCTAATTTTCGATTGGTTCCTATTCGGTTGCACCGAGATTTTTTGCGTGTATATTGAAATATATGAATTAAATAATACCGTATAAAAATCACAAATAAAAAAAATATATTCTGGATATAGAGTGTAAACGATAATAAACGAAAATATCATGCCAACTTATCAAAGAACACAATTCGTAAATTACGTAATTAAATTACGTAAATTCTTTTCCGCCAAAAGAAAAAAATTCTGCTCGTGTCTTTTCCTCGCGAATTTATTTACGCGGGAAAAAGGGTACGTGTAAATCGTGAAGATTAGAATTAAGATTTAACGAAGCTCATCTCCTCCTTGTCACAGCGAAAGAAGGAGGAGGAGAGGACTTGCGCGCCGTGCTCGTCGTCCTGATCGCCGCGCGCGGAGAAGCGCGTCACTTTCAACTTTTAATTATATGTTACCGCCAGCGCGTCTCGAATAATTACAACGGCGAACGTCATTAGGCAAGTATAAAATGAGGGGGAAATAGCGTGGAGGCGTATAAGGTGCAAATTAAAATTATTATATTCGCACCGTGGCCCCGGTGATTAGACTCGCCGGTGGCTCGCCGCGCGCTAACGAATTACGAACGATTATCTCTGTGTTCCGCCGACTGCATATACCACCGTGTTTCATCATTAATGGCCTTAACCCTCGCGACTGCAAATATATTCCCATCCTGAAGATATCGGCAATCGGGATTGCGTGTACGATGTCATCTGAGCGCGTTTCTTTTAATGATCGGCCGGAGAGTTCGTGTCTCGACGAGGATCGTCGAGTATCTATTATCGCTGGAGTTAATTTTAAACTAACGTTATTTTAACCTTAATTTTGACTTGAATTGATCATATCTCAGTCATTAACAGTCCAGATTGCGCATGATTTTTGTAGCTACTTAGATCTGTATCAACAGTCTTTACTCGAAACTTGTTTCACGTGAGACACTTGGATCTGAATTTCAAGTTTCAGAGTTTTTTATTCGAAACGTACGATATTCGTGACATCAGACTGCATTAGTCGTTATTTGAAACTTGCCACAAGTGAGATACTTAGATTTGAATTTAGATGTAAGTTTTCTACACTAAAAAAAAAAGTTTGGTAATACTTACCAAATATGTTTTACCATACTATTTGGTAAATAGTAACCAATATGGTAAATGTTACCAAATGTTTGGTAATAATTACAAAATTATTAGTAACATTAACTTTCATATAGTAATATTCATCTCTTATATTTAGTTAGTACTATTTTACTAAATAGTAAAGTTTAGTAATAGTTTTACTAAATACTATTTTATTACATAGTAAATAGTAACTATAACACAGGCTGGATAATTATTACCAGAAATTTTTCTCAGTATAGACAAATTGCGATTTCAAATATAATGTTGTATATACTACATAATTCAAAAAATCCATATCTAAATCTAAAAATCCAAATCTCACTCTAAAATCAAATCTGAAGCCCGTACTAATAGTTGTTACTTGAGACTATCTCAAGTAAGATACTCAGATTTGTATTTAGAGTTAAATGATAGATTTTTAGTTGAATTCCGTGATTGCAGATATAAATGTCACATATATATCACAGATAAATAACTTGGATCAGAATCTGAATAAATATCTAAATACCTCACATGAGACAAGTTCCAAGTGACAGCTGTTAATACGGGCTTGATCATGTAAGTCAAGTTTACAACAATTACTAATATGAGCCGTTATATTTGTAATTGCCACTGAAAAACACATCTAATATTCTCTAAGGCTCGTATTAATAGTTATTACTTGAAAACTCTTTTAAGTAAAAGAGTTGAATCTAACTCTGAATAAAAATCAAAGTATCTCATATGAAACAAGCTTTAAGTAACAACTATTAATACAAATCTTAGTAACATTTATTAAGTTATCAGTTCACATCGAATTGTTTCGTTTTCTCCCAAAAGTTCTCGCGCTTGGACATCGTGCAAAATATTCGCCTCGACCATCGCGGATTCCGCGGCGCAGATCGCGTCTCGTCCAGCGTGAAATCGCCGTCCATTTCGCGTGGTCGACGACACGGTCGTCTCGAAAATCTGCCGAAATACCGCGAAGGCATAGGGGACGTTCGACGAGATATTAAGACCTGGCGAAGCGTGCGCGTTGAAGCCGTGTGTATTCCGCGAGAATTCCCGCGTCCGTTCGCGCGAAAAACCTTCCCTCGGCTTTTGCCACCGGGCGATGATATTAAAA